TCTTTTCCTTTCATCCTCCTGAGCATTTATTGCTATTTTTATTCTTTATGGTTGCCTTTCTAACTAAAATAAGAAACCTCAGTGTAGTTTTAATTTGCATTTCTCTGATTGCTAAGAATGTTGAACATCTTTTTATACATGCTTCAGCTGTTTATATTTTTGCTTTTGAGAAATGTCTGTCTACTTCATTTGCTCATTCATTCATTGAGTTGTAATTATTATTTTTGGTGTTAATTTTTTGAATTATGTATATTTTGGGTGTTAATCTCATGTCAGAAAAGTAGCTTGCAAATATTTTCTTCCATTCTGTAGTCTATCTCCTCATAGTTTTATTTCCTTTGCTGTGTGGAAGCTTAATTTGAATCTATCCCACTTAATTGATTCTTGGTTTTATTTCTTGAATGTTGGGTATCTTTTTAAGGAAGTTGATGTATTGCCTCCAGATTTTCTTCTATAAGTTACAGTGCTTCTTTGTCTAATTCTAAGGATGTCAATAAACTTGAATTGATTTTTGTGCAGACTGAGAAATGATCATCTAGTTTCATTCTTCTACATAAAGCAATCCAGTGAAAATTGCTAAAATTATTTTTAAATTCTCTTTTTTCAGTTTTTATTTTTGGAAACTTTGTCAAGGATTAGATGACTGAATCTGAGTGCATTTATCTTGGTGTCTTCTATTCTATTCCATTATTCTTCATTACTGTCTTGGCATCAGTATTATGCTGTTTTAGTTACTGTAACTCTGTAATATAATTTGAAATCAAATATTGTGATGTTATTGCACCGTATTCTTTTGGTTATCCTGGATCATTAACTTTTCCATATAAATTTTCAGAGTTATTTTTTTTCCTAGTTCCACGAGGAATGCCATTTTTATTTTGATGGGCATTGCAAGGAATGTGTATATCACTTTTGGTAATCTGGCTATTTTGACTACATTTATTCTGCCTACCCAAGAATATATTCAAAGCTTTCCTCAATTTCTTTCTTTAGTCTTCCATAACTTTCATTGTAGATATCTTTTTAACACCTTAGTTAGATTAATTCCCAGGTATTTTATTGGTTTTTTGAGGCTATGGAATATGGAATTGTCTTCCTGATTTCTTACTCAGTAGATCCATCATTGTAGCATAGGGACATCTGTTGATTTCTGTAGGCTGACCTTATATTCCACTTTCCTAAATTAGTTTATCAGTTTTAGAAGATTTCTGAGTCTTCTGAGTATAGGATTATTTCATCAGCAAACAGAGATGAATTTACTTTCATTTCATATTTGTATCATTTTAATTTCCTTCTCTTTTCTGATTGTTCTGCTGGAGTTTCAATAATTATATGGAATATGAGTGGTGAGTATGGACATTCTTATCTTATTCCTGATTTTAGAGAAAATGCTTGTAGTTTTTTTTTGTCCATTAAGTATGATGTTGGCTTTCAGTTTGCTTTTATGAATTTGAGACAAGTTCCCTCTATCCCTAATTTCTCTTATGTTTTTAATATAAATGTGTATTGGATTTTTGTCAAGGCCTTTTCTGCATCTTTTGAGATGACCCTGTGGGTTTTGTCCTAAATTGTATTTACAAGATAAATTACATTTATCAATTTGCATATATTGAACCAACCAGCCTTGCATCCTGCTTTAAAACCAACTTGATCATGGTGTACAAGATTATTGATGGTTTTGATTGTGGATTGCTAATATTTTTAAGAATTTTTTGTTAATCTTCATTAGGGATATTGCTTTACAGTTTTATTTCCTTGAGTGTGTTCATCTGTTTTTGGTATAAGGATGATACTGGTTTTATTGAATGAATTTGGGAGTGTTCTCTACCATTCTATCTAATGGAATTATTTGAGGATGATTTACATTAGTTTTTTTTTTTTTTTTTTTTAAGACCTGTTAGAGCTAAGCTGAGAACACAAAAGGTCTGGAACTTTCCTTTATTAGAAGACTTTTTATTGCTGATTTAATCGCATTGTTTGATACGGGTCTGTCTAGGTTTTCTATATAATCTTGGCACAATTTGAGTAGGTTATGTGTGTTTAGAAATTTGTCAATATCTTATAGATTTCCCATTTACTTGAATATAATTTTTCAAAATAATTCCAATTGATTCTTGAGATTTCAGCAGTAATAATATCTCTTTTTTCAACTCTAATTTTGTTGATTTGGGTTTTCTCTCTTTATTTTGGTTAGTTTGGCTAAGGGTTTATCTATCTGTTCATGTTTTTGAAGAACCAAATCTTTGTTGCATTTATACTTTACATGTTTAATTCTCGTTTTATCAGTTTCAGCTCTAAATTCTTTCTTTCTTCTACTGGTTTTGTAATTAGTTTCTTATTGCTTCTCTAGGAACCTTGAGATAGAACACCAGATAATTTAAGAATAGTGTTTTTTTTCTCTATTTTTGTAATGCAGGCACCCAATAATATATACATTCCTCTTAGGACTGCTTTAGAGTGTCTCAGAGTTTTTGTTTTTGATATGCTCACCTCCCCTCTCCTTTCTCTCCCTTCCTCCCTCCCTTTCTTGTTTCCAATAACCCATTCCTCATTTAAAAGTTCATTATTCCATTACCATGTGTTAAATGGTTCTCTAATCTAATCTTCTTATTGATTTCTAATTTCATTCCATTATAATCTGACAAAATGCAAGACATTATTTAAATTTTTTGTAAGACTTTTGTGTCCTAAAATATGGTCTGTTTTGGATAATTTCCATGTACAGCTGAAAAGAATTAATTCAGTGGCTGCTGGATCAAATATTCTATATATGTATTAGGACTTAGTTTAAGCCAAGATAATTTATCTATTGGTGAGAAAGGTGTTTTAAAATTATTCAGTGCTATTGTATTGAAGTCTATCTATGAGTTTATGTCAAATAGTATTTGTTTCAAGTAAGAAGGCATATTAACATTTGGGGCAGAAATACTTACAGATGTAATATCATCTTGTTGTATGGGCCAATAAACAGGGATGAAGGGACATTCCCTTTAGGAGACATAGTCTGAAAAGTATATTAAAAAAATAAGATAATCTCCTATTATTTAAAAAAAATCACCTTTCTGGTACATACATTCATAGGCTGAATGTGAGAGGATGCTTTTTGTCTCCATGCAAATGATTTCTGCATCTTACCAAATCACAATTGCTATGAAAGATACATCATTATTATTGATGATAGGCTTCTCACTATCTCTTCGTGTGAAGATATGAATGAATGATCAACTACACAATGTTACTGAAAGTTCATTTAGTTTCCATGCAAATGGAGACAAAAATCAAGCAGGAATAGTTATTCTCAGATTTAACAAAGCATACTTCCTGTCAATATTAATCAGAAGACACTAATTGAATTGTAAAATTCTTCTGGAGGAACATTTAAACAGTCATAAATTTTTGCTTCTTCTTTTCCTGAGTTGGTATATAAAATATAATCCATTTGTTAAACCTGTTGTTAACTTTTTTCTTCCAAAGTGTTTTAATATCTTACATCTAAGGTTGCATTTCATTATGGTAAGCTAAGCCCTCAAGTTTTGAGGATGAATTTTAAAAATTCACCTATAATCTATAAATGGGAAAGCTGTATAAGCAATTAGCTGAAATCCCATGCAAAGAAAAATATAATATTTTGTGAGGAACCAAAAAGAGAGAAAGAACCTTTTTTTTTTTTTTGTATCCATTTTCTCTTTGTCATTCCCCCCGCCCCGACCCTGCCCCCCCCCCAGTCATTCTAGTTGTAGCTTCTGGTACTATTTAACGACAATTTACAATAGGTCAGGAACTGTGCTAACTTCCAACAGAAAGATGATAGAGCTTATGCCAGGGAAGCCCTATGGGGAAAGGAATGCCTTAAGTTGCCTTTAAGGAAAAGGTGAATCACAGAAGATTGCAAATGACTTCTGCTGGGGGCAAGCTAAGCCCAGATGATGATTTTTACACAAGCTCTAAGACCTAAAGGGCATATAATTTCTCTAAGGTGGGATCTGTGAATCCTGGTTACATTCTTTTTAAAGAAAATCATTTCATTGGAAGCTTAAAATATGTTTTCTTTAAACATTTACATCTTTCAACTTGGTATTATAGTACGATCTTTTCAGCAGTAATCCAATATTCAAATAAATTGAGATCACACAGATAGTAAATGGCAGATCCTAGCTCAAGTTCAAAGTCTATGATTTCCCCATCTTACCAAATTACAACTGCTATGAAAAATACATTATTATTATTGAAGATGGGCTTCTTACTATCTCTTCATGTGAAGATATGAATGAATGATCAACTGCATAATGTTACTGAAAGTTCACGTAGTTTCCAGTGTAGTCAACAGGAACTAAACACCATGGATTGATGATTAAAAAATAATTTTAAAAAAGACATGCCCATTTGAAGCATAAGCTTTTCTCACTACATACAAGGAATTAATTATATTTTTTGTTTTCATTTAAAATGTTATGTGTTCAGGTACTGATCATGACCCTAAAACATTTCATGGCCTTGTTGAATTTCCTACAAGTTAAGAATGAGCAATTTCTAAGGAGGAAAAGAATAAACAAACTCCTAAATCAAAATTCAACAAAATAAATGACTAATAAAAAGAGAAAGAAAACCGAATTCATTGCTAATAAGTTCTAAGGAGACAAAATATGCTGTGGTGAAATGAGACCCACCGCAATGAACAGTTCATCTATGGTAAAAATTTAGTTCTGAGCATCTCTGTCTGAGACTTTGAACATGACGTTCTATGGGGAACTGAGAAATGGTGCATGCTCCTCAAATTATCTTATGAGAAATGGTGAAAAGACTGAGACTGTGTGCAAAAAGAACACTAAAATCTTAGTCATGAAAAATGACTAACACATTATACAGCTGATGATTTTTTATCAGAAATTAGATGTTAAAACGTCAACCTTAATGATAAATATGGCAAAATATGGGATTAAGTAATTTATTTTAAGTAATAGCAACAAAGACATGATTTTTCTTGTCTTTCAAAAATGTTGTCAGATGTTACATCTTTGGAATATTTCTCTTCTCTTCACATTCCTGCTTCTTATGGTGCATCCTTCTTCTATCCCTTACTTTATATACTTGTCATATGAAATATCTGTGGTAAAATAGTTTCCTCTGTAGCTGAAGAATGAAGATTTAAATTGAGTAAGGGAATCCATAAGAAGCATAATTCAATGAAATACTTGCAAACAAGTAATGCCTTTCAATTGCAAAATTGACTTTTTAAAAATTATTGTGAATGCCTTTTCATTTGAAGTATGCAATAAACCCTGGATGATCACTGAAAATTATCCTACTAGATATTGTGAGCAAATAATGCTTAAGGTCAGTTAGAATTCAATTTAGTAGATTCACTACAGCCAAGAAAAACAAGAAACAAAATATGTTTTGTGATACATAAGGTGGTTTTATCTAATGAACTATTTTCAATTAAAATAGTTATTTTGCTACTTCTTAATACTTTATTTCTGGGAGCCTTCTCCTTACAGACACAGCAAATTTACATTCCAGTCATATTTATTTTTATTTCTTTAAGTCTTCTTTCAGGAATGCAATTCCTCCTTTTCCATACCTGTCTAAGTCCAACTCATTATCTAAGAAATATGTGCAATAGGTTCTATATGAATTTTATCTTACTAAATTCAAGTTAGAAATTAAGAATTATTTTCTTTTGAATATTTCTAAAAATTTTAACATTTCTTAAAGTAAACTTTATTATAATTATTTATTCCATTGATCTATCTTACCATGAGATTTCCTTTTGTGGGGTACTATAGATTGAACACATGGGCACTTAACCACTCGGCCACATTCTCAGCACTTTTTAATAATTTATTTAGAGAGAGGATCTTTTTTTTTTTGTATAGAAACATTTTTTTTACTATTTTTATTTTATTTTATTTTTTTATTGGTTGTTCAAAACATTAAAAAGCTGAGAGAGGATCTTGATGAGTTACTTCTGACCTCCCTGTTTCTGAGGCTGGCTTTGAACTCAAAATTCTCCTGCCTCAACCTCCTTAGCCACTGAAATTACAGGTGTGTGCCACTACACCTAGTCCTACATGAGATATGACAAATCAGTTGAAAAAGTTTATGCTTTTGTATGTTGAAATTATGCAAAAGCATAAACTTTATCACTTCCAACCTAGTTGCTTTTCTATGAATATATTTTTTTCTAATTAATTGAATATTAAGGAATAAACTAAAATAATTATTGTGTCCCTAACTTGATCCTCATCTTTTATCCCCATCATTTTGCGCTTGTTTTTGAAGGTAAAGTTCTATAAATTTATATAAATAAAAACTTTAGAATCCAAGAATATGGATAGATCCTTTGCCATGTATTTCCACTCAATATAGATAAACATCTTCCTATTTAAATCACTTTTAATGTACTATTTGCAACTTTTTCATTGTAACTTTGGCAAAGACATCAAAGATGTACTCCAAATACTGCATACCTAATTCACTAATTTTACCTTTGTAATAGTTCTTACAACAATACTTCTCCAGCTCTATCAGTTACAAGTGACATGCATACTTCTGCTCTTAACTGAGGACCAAAGATTCTAGAGCTCCATGGGTACAGCTTAGACCTAACATCCTTAATTTCTTTATTCCTCACCCATGTATTATCTTTGCATTCCATAGGCTTACACGGATTTCATATGATTTCAAGTCTGAACCTGGACAATGAATGAGCAAGTTCTCTCTTAGCCAATAGTGAATATTCTAGAGAAAAGGCATGCATCCCTGGTATAGACTAAAATGCTATAATATGTCTAATGTGCTAATATAATTAGAGTTTTTTTAAACCCTCCCTTTTCTTAACACTTCTCTTTTTAGTTCAGCTGTGAATATTTTTTTCACAGTTCTACTTACAAAGCACACTGTATTATTGCACTTCTAAATCAATCATTTAACACCTGTTCAAAAGTAAATAAACATAATTTGGCAGTTTTGATATTATCCCATCACCCTCCTCCTCACTGAGTCAAGAGTGGGATTCTTAGTCAACATCCAGTTCTAATGCAAATGCCAAGAGCCACACAAATATAACATTTTAATAATCAATAATAGAGCATTATGCCTCCATTGATAAATTTTGTGTTTATATTTTTAGATTTATATAACTTATGCAACAGCCCATCATTTGACACTCATGTTTTATCCAATGCAATGAGAAAATGTTTCTTACACTTGTTGTTCTTGAGAAGTTCCCTTTCAAGGAGATAATTACACATGCCTCTGACTTGCAATGATGAGAAAAACACTCAGGTTGCCAGATGGTGCTGTTGGTTATTGGGAAAAGGAATATAATATAAATGTTCCATCACTGCAAAATCTGTTATTAGTCAATGAATCTAAAAATCTGTACTAGGTAAATTCAAAACAAGAAAGAGAGGTCCCTGGCTCAAATAATTCATTATTATTTTATTTTAAAATTCTAAGAATGATACATCTATTCATATAATTATTCTACATTCTTTCTTATTGTATACATATGATTTATGGAATTTTTATCATGTTTAAAATAATCATTGCTCTTACATTTCCAAATAACAGTTCAATTTTAAATTCTCCCAGCTTTCTTCAACTTGAAATTAATTTGTGACTACATATCATGTTTCTTTAGTGATTTACATCTTCACATCATTTCCATTGACACAATCTCATTTAATTATCATGAACTTCCTGAGAACTACATATTAGTCTCATACAATAAAATGGAAATGAATATATGAAAAAGCAATACAGTCAAGGTCACATGGCTGGGAACATGCAAAAGCAGTACATAAAGCTTACCATAAATTTCCTATATTTTATATTGCCATAGAATTTCCCTGGTTTGCCAAACTGCAGTTTCAAGGTATCTTTCAAAAATGGGCAATATCCTTCAGAATGTGTGAAACTTCACAAATCTGTGAAGAAAAAACAGATTTTGTTGTTGTTGTATGCTGACAACCTTCTTTACATTTGCTTTTCTTTCAACCTCATAATTTGTAATAAACCACCATTTTCTACACATAGTCTCTTCATATTGAAAAAGGGCATTTCCATTTAGGGGACTTTAAAATGCAGATGAATAATGTCAATCTAGTATTATTAAGCAGTATTAAAATAGTTGTGGAGAAATTTTAGTGTAATATATCTCTCTGTACATAAGACAATGTAGATCCATTAAAGAATGGCATTACTTTATCATTCTTACTTTTAAGAATGAATTACTTTAGTCAAGTAAGAGATCACATGGAAACAGCTATTTTACAGGTAGAAATAAGGAAAAAGAGCACTTTTGACAATTTAAAACTTTCTTTGACAGCAGTTGAGACAGACATAAGATGTAAGGCATAGGCAGAAATAGGTTAAAATAACCAATAGAGATCTGTTAAGAGCTAGATTACAACTAACATGCTAAATGTGATGTTATACATTTTATGTTGTAAAATTCAATCCTGAAAGTAACACAGTTAATGAGGCATTTTTATCTATACTCCCATCCTACTGATGACAAAACTGAGGATTAGAAGAGGCAAGTAAATTGTTAGTATTAAACACTAATAATCTGTCCTCTTCAAAAAATAGTGCTAGGATAACTGTATATCTTGATGTAAAATTTTAAGTTAGGCTTCTTTCTCATAATATTTTTTTAAAAAATAACCACAAATAGATTGTAGACCAAAATTAAGAGTAAAACAAAAACAAATTCTTAGAAGATAGCATAGGAGTGCAGCTTCATGAAAGGGATTAGACAAAGAGTTTTGGGGTATGACATCAAATGAAGAAATGATAAAAGAAAATTTTGACAAATTAAACTTCATGATTTTCCAAAGTATTTGTGCATCAAAAGACACCATCAATACAGTAAAAATGCAATCTATAGTATGAGAGAAAACATACAATAAGGAACAAGCATCTGAAATATAAAAAGTATTCTTACAACTCAATAATAAAAAGATAAAAATAATATGATTAAGAATATGAATAAATATTTCTCCAAAGAATAATACAAATGCCTAATATATACATGAAAAAATGTTCCACATAATTAGTTATTACCAAATGAAGACCAGAGTATAGGAGCATTTCACCTCACTAGAATTTCTGTGACCAAAAACAAAAGCAATAAGAAATGTTGGTAAGGATGTGGAGAAAATGAAATCTTCATTCATTGCTCCAGGAAATGTCAAATAGCCCTGCTGCTTTATGAAACATTGTGAATGTTTTTCAAAATGTTAAATAGAGAACTACTGCATAACCCATCAATTCTATACCTAGGTGTGTACAGAAGAGAAATGAAAACATAAGTTCACATAAATACTTGTAAATAATGTTCCCAACAATATCATTCATAATAATAAAACAGTAGAAACAACCTAATTGTCCACCAACTGATTAATGAAGAAATGTGTAAAATCCATTCAATGGAATATTGTTTGGCAAAGAAAATTAATGAAATTCTAATGCAAGCTTCAGCTGGATGTGCCCTGGAAACATGAAAAATGAAAAAGTCCACATATTTCTTAATGCTATTGGTGTGAAATGTCCAGTCTACGAAAATTTACAGCAACACAAACTAGATTCATATTTGTCTATTACTGGGTAAAGGGGGGGAAGGATTTGGTTTAGAAGTATGGGTATGTGTTTGGGGGATCAGACATTCCAAAATGAGTTTTTAGTGTTGGTTTCACAACTGGGAATATATTTAAACCAATAATTGCACATATAAGTGGATGAACAATATATGAACTGTACCTTTAAAAAGCTGTTTGCAAAACTGATGGTCTGTGAAACTAAGAAGTTTAGTTTTGTTACCACAATCAAATAGGTTTAGCAGTCCTTACTGAGGGTCTGACAATTCCTTACGAAAGGGAGAAAATTTCTCTTTCACATTGGACTTCTTAAGTCTATTGGAGAAAAAGTCATGTGTCACGTCCAGTAATAACAATCCACAGATTACTTCGGACTGATTTGATTGAAGATTAAGATGTATCATTGTACTTATTCTGATTGAAGAATAAAGTCCCTTGACTCAAGGCCCTTTGTGTGTATATGTGCACAAGAGCAGGTGAGTGAGAGCTCTGTAGTGTACAAAGAAGTTGCAAGTAGAAATAAGGTTTGGATATAGTTCACAAGCCTAGCACTAAATTTCTCAAGCTCTTTGTTGGTATTACAATATACACTGATATTTCTTTGAGCTCACGTTCTCCCAGGAATTTGAAAACCTGAGACTATTTTGGAGTCCACCTTTTATGTTTTGCCTGAAATTGTTACGTATCTGGTAAAGGTATTGACGATTCTTAATTCTGACTTCATCAGTCACTCTAACGGCTGTGCTCATAATCAATGAATTGACAGAACTTCAGATTTTATATAACAGGAAATTTTCACTTTTCTTACCATTATTATTGAAATGCTGCTTATTAATTGGTTTTACTAGTCAAAAACCAGGGATCCTGGGCAAACAATACATATCACAATGTTTAGAAATCACTGGAAGGAAGAAAGCCAGGTCTATCATTGAAATGCATAACTGGAAAGTCCACATTAAGGTGCACATGATTGTCCTTAATTACAGTTACATCACTGCCCTTATTTTGTTATTGACTTCACATTAACAAAGAAGAATAAATTGACTACAGGGTCCTGATTGCACAGTCTTCAGGTAAACCTCAAGGCAAAGGGATCTCAAGGTTGCCTCTTGTGAGAACTGTGTTACACATCATTTGAGGTGAAGGCCAAAGTCTCTATAGCTTGGATAGGATAGTATGTATGAGGTCGGATATCTGTACACTTGTAGGACATTCTAAATACAATCTTCCCTCCTTAAAATCTGTCTTGCATAAGTTTATTCCAATTTATCTGTCCAATTTCTTCTTAGTAAGGAAGGTGATAGAAAGTAAAGAAGGGAGGGAAACATGCTGATTTATTTCAGGCACTTAGCTCAATTTGCTTTTACTTGTTTAGGAAATTGCTTTTTCAATGCAGAAAAATGTGTTGGAGTAAAGTAATTCCATAGGTTTGATGGCACTGCAGTGTGTTTTTCCCCCTGTATCTGGTATAAGTGTAAATGAAATGCATGGACAGCAGGATTACCATTATTTACTTCCTTTTATTGCTGTTCTCTCTTACCTACTAGATTACATGTGTGTTAACTGAAGTTACTGTTTATACTTATTTAACAGTATTGACTGAAATAACCCTGAATCTCCTCCAGTGAGGACTGATTTAGCTACAAATCACTGTTCCAGCTCTGAAATCATTAATCAGCCTCAGGCAAGATCCATTATGTGGGATTTCAGCGTAGAAGAAATATTAACAGCTCCCTAGAAGAAACATTCCCATCACATTGGCTCTGACTCCCTGCTGGAGCAGCAAATTACCCTCAAGTAATAATTATAATACATTAGTAGAGGTTTAATTTCCAATAAGTGCTGTCTGTTTAAGAAATGGCAATCTCACCATGGTTCAGAGAACAATAGATCATGTTATCAGCAAGAATAAACCTACATGGAATTAAATGAAAGATAATAAAAAATTCATTACAGTTTGGAAACTGCAGAAAAAAAGAGATGCCAGTGTGAGTCCTCAGTAGCATTTTTATAGAAAACTTCATGTTTAGAGATCATCTCTGTGGATGATATTAGGCATGGCTGTGAATGTTTCTTCTCAAGTTCAGTCAATAGAAAAATTGTTAATTTTTAGTTATTATCTACAATGACAAGTTAGTAACAGTGCCTTCAACCCCCACCCCCAGGGGCTAACAATACTGATGAACACAGTAGCTATAGAGAAAATCCGTTCCTTAGCTAACTTACTTTGGGCATCCAAATAAAATCCCAGTGAAAACTTTCAAAAGTATAGAAAAATTAGAATTTCACAGGTGGTCTTTTCTTACTGAGATAATTCTACTTTCAACAGACAATGAAATATTTCTTTGGAGGTAAGCTTGTAAATGCTTTGGAAAAATAATTGGTTTCTAGGAGGTTTGAAAAGTCTAAATTCTAGAAAATCTACAAATCTCTGCTTAAAATAGAATCTCCATTGTGTGCAAGATATACGAGGGACACTTAGAGTATTTGCTACATTCTGTCCCCATTAGCATGATATAAAATAAAAACATAGACAGATGTTAGTAAGATATTTGCTTCACTTTTAAGTGCAATGAAGATTTTATTGTAAAATGTTGTTTAAACTTTTACCAAACTATTCATTACTAATGCAATTATTTAGTATCCAAGCAATATTTATAGACATTGATATGACAACTTGGATATTCTGAAATTCTGATGTTTGAAGATGGCTTGTGTTTCAGCAATCTGTATTGTGAAGGCATTATTTATTTTAGTAGTTGAACTCAATTCTACTGAACATGTTCTAGCACACAGCATAAGCCAGATTATGTATCTGCCAATGCTTGAAATTATTCTTCAGGTTCAGTGAACTATTGATTTAAGGAATTCAAGGTGTGATTCCATTACTGAGTAAAGAGATTCATATTTTCTTAACGTTGTAGAGGTTGTAGTTTGATTTATATGTCCACAAATGTATATACTTAGAATTTTTTCTTTTTTATTGCTTGATGGATGTCATGTCATACTGTCTGATACAGAAGCCAAAATGAAGGAAACTTTTTTTTTGGAGGTTTTGTTTTCTTTCAGGGTTAAATTTTGCTTTAGGATTGATTTTTTCCAAGTTTTTTTTAAAAAAAATAGAAACTTTATAATTTAATCTAATAAATCGAATTGAAGAACTCAAAAACATTGAAATTTATTAAAATTTGAAAATTAATTTCAAAGTTTTGAAGTTTGCTATATTTAATAATACTTTTCAAAAATTTACTTGTTTGCTTTTACTTATGAGTAACCTTGAAAAGGGAATACCAGCTACTGCTGTTATGTCCTAGAATAGTACAAAAATATATAATTCCATGGAACTATTTTTTTTAATTATAATTTTAAAGATGGTCTATTTAGAATAATTTAAGGAAAGTAAAAACTTCGTGTAATTAATTAAAATCAGTGGATTTTAAAAACACTTTCCACATAGCCCATGTTCTTGTGTTTTTACTCATGTAACAAAACATCAACTTTAGAAATTTAAAATACATTTTTAAAAGCCTCTAGTAATATAAAACTGCCATACTTTTTAAACATCAGAGTACTAGAATACTTGTGGATTAGAGAAAGAGCTACTTTTGTTTAGTACAAAATGTGTAATGATGTGATCTCAAGAGGGGACTTTTCAGGAACCAATGGAAAGGAAGCAATTATACTTAAAAACTCTCCTAAAACACAAGAAGTAAAATCAAGAATCAATAAATGGGCTGGAATCAACTGCAAATCCTTACAGCAAAGAAACAAGAATGTGAAGAGAGAGTCTATAGAATGGGAGAAAATCTTTACCACATGCACCTCAGATAGCACATTAATCACCAGGATATATAACGAATTCAAACACCAATAAAAAATCCAATCAATAAATGGACTAAGGAGCTGAACAGACACTGTACGGAAGAACAAATACAAATGCTCTAAAAATATTAAAAAAAAATGTTCAGCATCTCTAGCAATTAGAGAAATGCAAATTAAAATAACTCCTTCCAGTCAGAATGGCAGCTATTAAGAATACAAACAACAATAAGTATTGGTAGGGGAAAAGGTACACTCATACATTGCTGGTGGGACTGCAAAGTAGTGCAACCACTCTGCAAAACAGTATGAAGATTTCTTAGAAAACTTGGAATGGAACCACCATTTGACCCAGTTACCCCACTCCTTGGTTTATACCCAAAGGACTTAAAATCCATATACTGCAGTGAAGCAGCCACATCATTGTTTATGCCAGCTCAATTCACAATAGCTAAACGTTGGAACAAACTTAGATTCCCTAAAAGAAATTAATGTATAAATAAAACGTGGTATATACACAAATTGGAATATTACTGAAGATTAAAGAAGAATGAAATCTTGGCATTTGCTGGTAAATGGATGGAACTGGAGAATGTCATAATAAGTGAAATAAGCCAATCCCAAAGAAGCAAAGGCCAGATGTTTTCTCTGATATGTGGATGTTAATTCAAAAAGGGAGGGAGGCTAGGAAGAATAGAGTTACTTTGTGACTGTGGAATAGAGTTACTTTGTGACTGTTTCACTCTGTGGGGAGTGAAGGAAGGAGGTAGAGTATATGTAGGTAGAAAGGATAGTGGAAATAATCGAAAATTATTACCTATTATGCATATAGAAAACTTGGAATGGAACCACCATTTGATTACGTGACTGTTGTATTTCTATATCATGTACAACATCATGGACAACCAGAAGATGAGAAGTTATACTCCATTTGTGTATCATGTGTCAAAATGCATTCTACTGTCATGTATTACTAAGTAAAACAAAGAAATGCAAAAAGATGAGGAATGAGCAGCATGTGTTAAATAATCCCCAGGGCTCAGTTGCTCCACAATGTGTGTTTTGTAGGAATTGACAAAGTAGCATGGTAATCCATATACTTTAAAATTTAATTGTTGAGGGGTTTTCCAGTTATGGCTATTGAAAGAACAGAAAATAGAGTAGAACAGCTGGATCCCATTCTATATCCTGTCACAAGATGTGTCTTTAAGTAATCTTTTAAAATTGAGTTCATTTCTTCACTTTTTATACATATTGATAGTATTTGAGATAGCTACTACATTTTACTTTTATAAAAATTGAAAGAGAGAACAAAATGTATTAGCAATAATAATTTATGCCAATACCAAAGAGTACAGTTTTAACCACCACAACAAAAATTACAATAATAATAGCAAGAAGAGTTCTCAGTACAAAATAACTGTTTGTGATATTTGCACAAAAATCATGCAAGATACTTAATACTGTTTTTTTTTTTTTTTACAGTGAAGAATATAAGCTAAGTTTATTTGTCAAGGGCCATACTGTTAGTGATGAATCAGGTCTGTTTGAATCTATGTAAATCCTTAAATATTGTTGTTGCACACTCTGCTTCCCTGCCTCATCCCCTATTAATTGAGCGATGATGTTGGTATTGTTTCTCTACTTCTGGAACTTACCTTATCTAACAACTTTTTTCTCTCTCCTTATTCTTACTTCTTAGATAACTACAGTGTTCAGTGTTCTATAGTACCCAGGAGAATAAATGAGAGAGAATACTCAAAACCTAAATAGACAAGTGTTCTGATATTTGTATTATTTGCATGCCTTTATTTTAAATGAAAACACTTTTACTAACAGATATAGTCTTCTTAGGTTAATTCTTATGTTAGGTGAATAGGTCTTCACAATTTTACCTGTATTAATGTTTTCCAGATAGTAGCATCTACATAATATATTTCCTTCTGTAAAATAAAGGAGTAGAGGAAAAATTATTATTCTTCATAAGCCTATATGACTTTAAGTTGAAATAATTATCAACCCACTAAAATTTGAATTAAGAGATCTGTTCTATGGGTAATATTTTTACTTTTCAAATAACATGGCCAGGAGATCTGAAGATCTGTCCTGTACCAAAAATGACACAATCACTATGAATACAATGATTAGATTTCTATATCAATACAAATTTTTCATGTTAAATAATTTATATAACAGACCTGCAATCCTGGTCATAGGATTTTTTTTTCTTTTTAATTGAGAATCAGAAAACTCAAATTCAAGATTGAAATAATGTGTGCTATTGTAACTGCATCAAAAGAGCATTAATTTTCGTCAAATGCATTCTCTTCTAGAAATAGGAAAAGCTGATTTGTATTACAGCAGTATATGAACTTCCCAATGCTTGTTAGCATGTGAGAGTTTTATCATGGTAGAAAGGTACATACATAATAACATTGATTCACATACTTTCCAATCATCTTCAACATTAATCCTATTTTCTTCAATTTTTCTAACAATGTACCTGATATTTAGTATCAAAGAGAATGGTGATAATCATTATATTCACTTAGGAAATAAATTACAATATGTGCATTTAGTTTGCCTTGAGGCATGCATTTTAAGGCAATGTAGCTATGAATGTGGTACATTTTTTATTTTTGTCACCAGGGAATCTAACCCAAGTCCTTGCATGTGTTAAGCAAATGCTGTACCACTAAGCATACATCTGCAGTCCTTAGTTGTAGGTTTTAATTACACTCATAGCTGGTGATTAATGTGGATATTCCTTGTCTGATTGTCTTATGCGTAACCTCAAATGCACTCCATAAACTGGGAAGTTTAACAGAGATATATTGATTTTTTCATTTAATGGAAAAAGACAGTAATATTATGTAAGGCATTCACTTAATGTAGTTACATTTAATGATACAGATGTCTATGTATCATGCCTTACATATATTCAAAGTTATAAAGAATCAAGCAAAATAAAAGAGAGTTGTCTTAGTTGATGCATCATCTTAGGTTATAAAAATTAGTTTTTTACCTTTGGAAATCCTTAGCTATGAGAATACACAGATGCTTTCTTAGATTATTTTTTGTTATATTTTGCTTTTTATTGGAGAATATTCAGTTCTTTACAAATGTGAATATTGAAAAAACATTTTTTACTTTTATTTTATATTATTTTCTATTGCAAAATAATAAAAGATATTTTAAGGTAACTGCAAAATTGTTTCTGATTTAACTTTAATCATTTCAGCACTGCCTAAAAAATAACATATTATGAAGGCTTTCAGAGGACAGAAATAATGTTCTCCCCATACATCATCAATTCATTCTTAAGGAATTGTTGATACATTTGATCTGTAAAGTTAAGGAGAGAAGGAGATGAATTTGTTTTAATATTTAAAAACAGCACTTGACCTAGGAAAATTTTATACTTATGTTAGTTTTAAGTTTACTATTTCTGTGGATTTGACAGAAGAAATAGTAGCTTTATTAAGTACTCAATAATATTTCATTAACACACACTTCAAGGAAAAAATATATCTGTGTATACATCTTGCTTGAGAGAAGACTAAGAATTGAGCATCTAAACTAGGAACAGTGGTACATGCTTGTAATCCCAGTGGCTTAGGCAGCTGAGGTAGATGGATCACAAGTTCAAAGCCTGTCTCAGAAATGGCAAGGTGCTAAGCAACTCAGTGATGCCTGTCTCTGAATAAAATACAAAAAGGGGATAGAGATGTGGCTTATTGGTTGAGTGCCCCCTGAGTTCACTCCCCAGTACACCCCAGGAAAGAGAAGAATTTATCATATAAGAAACAAACTTAAATTTATATACAATTAATGGTTATTAGTTGAGGATTTTTCTCAATTAGGTGCATATGTTAATAAACATTGTTTTGGGATTAAACAATAATATCTATTAATGGTAGCTAAGTGTTGAAGTAAAGTTATGGATTTCATATTTGTTTGCCCCTAAAACTTCAGTTCAAACCCTAAGAACCCTCAAAAAAATAAGATTAGGAGGTAGGGTCAGGAATATGTAGGTTAAAGTGAGTGGTGAGCATGGGATCTCATGATGGGACAAGTATCCTTAATAATAAAGAAAGAGGGACCTAGCAGTTGTCAAGACCTGAGTTCACTATTCACTTGACAACCTAGCAGTTGTCAAGACCTGAGTTCACCTGTGCTCACTATTGCTGTCTCCTTCCATGAACATGATGTGAAACCAGAATCAGAAAGAGAGCCCTCACCAGAATGCACCCACCCTAGTGCCCTGATCTTAGAATCCCAGCCTCCATAATTGGGAGAAATCTGTTGTATAAGCTATCCACTGTATAGTATTCTGTTTTAATAACTCAAATGTATGACGACCAATGAAAGCATAGAAAGGGTTTGCAGAAAGGAAGAAATGAAGAGAGAGTTAAAGAAGCTGCCTTGGAAGGATATTTTCAGGTATTACACCAGCAAGTGTTACTGAGACCTCTTCCTGTTCTCTATCTTCTTGTCTATATGCACCATGTCTGAAGTTTTTTCAAACTCTGCTTAGCCTAGTATGTTCATCTGAATAACTTTGTCTCCTCAAAACTCATATGTTAACCCTTAACTTTCAATGTGACTTTTTTCAATGGAGACATTGTGAAGTGAATTATGTCATGAGAGATCCTCCTTCCTAAAGGGTAGATTAGTGTTCTTATAAAACAGAAGGTGGTTTGCCTGTCTGCCATTATAGAACACATAGAAGGGACCATCTGAGAAGTGGTCCCTCACTCTCTTTGAGTCTGCTGGCACCTAGGACATGGACTTCCAAGATTTCAGAAATGTAGAAATAAATTTCTGTTTTTGATCACTTACCCAGTCTAAGGTATTTTCTTATAGCAGCTTGAATAGAGTGAAATTGCTAACTTGAGGCAGAGTCTGAAATATTGGCTCAGATATTTATCATGGTGGTGGTGATGGAGCAGCATCAATGGCATCCATAAAACCAATGCACAAGTCAATACATATTCCCTTGTTGAAAATTTGGTGTTCAGGACAGAAAGTAACTGGTTCAAATGGTCATTGATGTTGTTTATTCCCAACCATGTTCTGAGTGACAAGGCTGAGTGAGGCCCTGCTCAGGCGATGCCACATGAGGCAAATTTGTACATCCTGTGCCCCAAATCTAATGGGGCTCATAAACAACAACTCATCCTTCCAATAAATGGGACATTGCAGCCATTTTAAGATCTTTGTAATAATAATAATAATAAAAACAAGCTCCATGAACCTTTAAGACAGGGTATTTAGGATCATAGCTGAATGATTTTCTTCTACTAATGAATGTATTTTTACAGCGATTTAATGTTTCTGTGAGTTTTCCCTCACCAATACCTATGGGCAATTTCACACTACCTTATTTATTTGAAATCATAAGAACCACATATCTGAGGTTACAGAAACAACAATAAAACTAATACAATATTTGTGTGGGCTCTCTCTCTCATCCAGTGAGGAGGTTCACGGAACAGGATAGAGGAGAGTGTGGCTGTGAAGTTGATAATCAAGAACTCCCGGGACCAAGCAGGAAGCAAATCTGATTTTATTGCGCAGTTACCGTGTATATATACTCAGGCAGTAGCTAAGCAGATTGCAGGCAGCCACCAATGAAATTTTTGCTAATTGCCCCTGCAGTGACCATTCAAGGAGTGGGCCTTGGAGCAAGCACAGGGACTACAACACATGGCCTCATGCCCAGGGCTGTGCCTACAGGGAAAGCGGCCTGCTGTTCACACACCTAGAACTAGGGGAGTAGCCTGCCACTCAGACGCCCTTAACTATGCCATGTATGCAGTACTCCATGCACTTTTCTCCACAAATACTAATGAGGAGCCAGCCTATTTTAAGAGTTTTGTATTTCTTGGGAGTTATCACCAGTTCAACTTGGTGTAAGATATATTTATGAAAATAATGATCTCTCAAAAAATAGTTTATTTGGTAGTTTTGGTATCTGTCTGTACTGTTTTCTCTGGTCTCTAATAATATTTTAAAATGTAAAATGAAGAAAAATTAAAATAATTTAACGTCAATGTCCCAAAAGCTTAGGAACACATAAAAATATATGTATATGTGTGTAAGTAACTAAATATAAATATATATGTAAATTCTAGCCTCCATTTTATTTGAAATTCAGGGCATCAAACCCAGGGCCTATATTCTACCACTGAGATGCATTCCCACCCAGCAGAAATTTAGCATTTCTTTTATTTGATTGCAAGAAGAGAAGCTTGTAACAGTGTACAGATATCAACATCATTTTGATCACATAATCATACAGAACTATGATTCCACAGCTAGTGTATCCACCAAGAAAATTTCTCAAAACCATCCCCTACTACTTAGATATGTTATCACAGACTACTATTGCATATGGAGACTCCAGTCTAAAAGATATTAGATCTTTGAAAATATCATGGCACATATCAACTACTTAGGAGCCTGGGTAGGAGGACTGCAACTTCAAGTCCAGCCTGAACAACTTAGTAATATCCTGTCTTCAAATAATAATAACAATAAAAATAGACTTGGGGATAGCTCAGTGGTAAAGTTGCCCTGTGTTCAATCCTTAGTATCCACCACCCCTATCCCCCCCAAAATCTTACATTTAAAAATAAATTTATAGAAACTTGTGTGCTAGGTTAAGTACAGATTTTATTGGTAGCTATACCAGAGTTGACACTTTTATTACTTTCACCAGAGTGTGAGTATTCAGTGATTGATTTTCCTTATTACTAATAAACTTTATTTTTTAATTTTTATTTTTTATTATTATTAGTTGTTCAAAAAATTACAAAGCTCTTGATATATCATATTTCATACATTTGATTCAAGCGGATTATGAACTCCCATTTTTACCCCGAATACAGATTGCAGAATCACATCGATTACACTTCCCCTTTTTTACATACTGCCATAC